GTCAATATGTTGTTATTAACTATAGTCACCATGATGTACAATAGATCTCTTTCCTCTTCTCCTTTAATCCAGCCAAGATAATGGTAGGGTTTTGCATAAGGAACTTTTCTAGAAACCTAAGGCAAAACCCGAACGCTTGGAATAGGGCTTCCCAAGCCTGGCAGACCTCACAAGACAAGATCCCTGTCCTTTTCTCTGTTCTTATTTAACTCCGTTCCTAGACCAGCCAGCAGAGCTGACAGGCACATGTTTAGCTTCAGTGTCAACAGCTGGCTTGCAATTTAGCTGTGCCACTTTGCACTCCCCGTCAGCAGAGCAGGAGAGTTCCACTGTTTCGGATGCTTGCCACCTTGCCGGTCTTGCTCATTTCAGTCATTTTCATGGGTGTGTATTAGTATCAGCTTGCAACCTTAATTTGCATTTCCTTAAAGAGTAACAAAGTCAAACATCTTTCCTATACTTATTGTCCATTGGGTTATTCTCTCTTACAAAGAGTATTTCAAATCCTCTGCACCTTTTAAACTGGCTACACGCTGTTCTCAGCCATATCTATTGTAAACATCTTCTGCCAGTTTGTAGCTCCCCCCTTGCATCTCTTCCAGTTCTCATGGTCCAAGCAAAATCTTTTTGTAACATAAAACCAGAGTCAGGAGGGAATCTATAGTATGACTGGCTGCTTTTACTTGATTGCATTTCCAAATCACTTTTCAGAAAGTCAATAATATTTATAATTTAGCACCACAGAAGGTGCCCTTGTGTTCCCTCCTAATCAGTACCCCCCCTCCACCTCTGGTGAAAGTAAATTCTATCCTGACCTCTGTCACCATAGATTTGTTCTGCCTGCTTTCATCCTTCACGTGAACGCAGGCATGGAGTATGCTCTTTAGTGTCCGGCTCCTTCTGCTCCGCATTGTATCTATGAGATTCACCCACTTTGTGTATAGCAATCATTTGCTCTTTTTCACTGCTATATGATATTCCATTGCACATATATATTGCAATTTGGGTTGTTTGTGAGTTGGTGATATAACGAATAGAGAAATATATAAAATATATATACATGATATATAAATATATAAATGAATTTCTTATCCTTGTCCCCAGCCTGTCGTCAGCAGCCAGTACTCCTTCTCAACTACCTCTGCAGTGCAGAGCCCAGCCTAAGTCCCCCACCTCTGACTCATTCACCAACCAGAAGAAGTTCACAGGTGCTTATCAAGTCCTTCCTGGCTCCGGTTACCACTTCCCTACTGTGACAGGTAATCTTGACACCTTCTTCAGTGTCCTCTCATCTAGGGAATGCTTCTGAAGATGTCAACTCTCCAGGCTTACAACATAAAGTTACTCTTGGCCTCAGGAATAAAATCTTATGTCACGGGCTCAATGTTTACACTCCAAATTTGGGTCTAGCATGAGCCAATACAAAGGCAGCACCATCTCATTGTATATCTCTAAAGTGCTACTCGGTCTGCCCCTCTTCTTCCTCCTAAGAGGGTCTTCACTTGGAACGTGGTCATTTGGAAATGCAGTCAAGTAAGAGCCAAAGTCCTTGTGGAAATTGTACATCTTCCTTTCTACAAGTCTCTATTTTTAAAAAAATCATTTTTTTAAAATTATGAACGTAGATAACTACAAACACACAGCAATATCAATAACTTTACCATCAATAGAAATCGATGATACCTTCCTATCACATTGTTAATGGTATTTTGAATTATTATCTAGTCTTACCTTTATTTCAACATTTCGGAAGTCTGAACCACCACCAGATCTTGTTCTAGATGTGCTAATAAATCAACAAATATAGTACAGGCACTATATCCACAAACTTGCCTCTTAGAAGTATCTTGGTAATTTTGTTTCAATATAATTTATGCACTGAAACACATTATTCTGAGAAGTAGTCCATAGGGTTGAAGGTACAAGAAAGGTTAAAAAAAACAAACAAAAAACTTTCAACATGGAGATCTTCTTAAACCCTTAACAATTTAAACTCATCCAGGGACTCATGCTGGTGAATTAGAAGTTCTGCATCTGGGCTGGGCCGTGCTGAAATCTGCTCCGTCTTTGTCAGTGTTCCTCTGGCACGGGGGGCAGGGATGGGGGATCTCAGTGGGCCCAGGCATGTGGCTTCAGTTTTCCCAATGTTCTGGCATTCCAAGGATTCTGGAAGAATAGGGCATCTCTTTTGCAGGTCAGAGGAAATGGGTAGCTAGCCAGCTAAATAGATTTCATGCTTGACTTCAGAGGAATAGCCCAAATGATCATCTGTTTGGGAGAGTAAATTAAAGAGGTAAGCAGGGAGGCGGGTTTTATTTGGTTTAACTTCTGATGGTTTAGTTGCTGCCCTAAACATCTCCAAAGAAGAATACAGTTTGTCAGACCTCTTCTCCCAGCATCCCTCCCCCCCACCCCCAATTCCAGCCAGATCCTGCTTCTCAAAGGGCACTGACCTTGAATTAGTGTGAAGGGAAACCTTGCCAGGATCTCCCCTCCCTCCAGGCCAGTCAAAACATAGCTCTTCTTTTCTCACCACTCCAAATACTGGATCCTGATTCCACCCACTCCTCCCGCCTCCATCTCTCCTAATTGTTAACTTGCCTTGCATTTCTTGGACCGGGATGCTCCTGAAGAGACAAAGAGTTGTATTCCCTTCCCAGAAGTAAACGCCTCTATGTTCTCATTTGATGCTGAACAAATATTCAATGGAAGAAGTTTGGTAACATTACATAGGAGTCCATTTCCTTGGCTCATGCCATGAAGGACAGTCAGATTCCCTGGTCCTTAAAATTGGGAACGTACACTCTGTATTGCCATCTAAATATTCTTAAAGGAAGTCTCTCTCTCTGACCCACCTGCCCCTCTCCTCCACTCTCTGCCTTCTTCGGGCACCCTACCCTTCCATCTCATTATAGAGGCCACTGAGTACCGAGGGGAGATGGCTGAGGTGGGTGAATGACCATGGACACCTCTGTCTTTTGTAGGGAGTAGAGTTGACAGGGCTTCGGCTTCCTCCTCCTCCCTTCTCGAGTCACTGGTTTTGAATGTTTGGATGTGATATCTTCCGAGGAGAGAGACTGTAGCCGACTCTTGCACATGACAGTCCTCCAAGGTGCTTTAAGTTCTCTATAAAAGCTATCATTTGTCGTTATCAGGACCTCCTGCCAAGTTGTTGAAGATGACAAGAGTTTTATTAGCTCTGTTTTTGCAATCGTCTGTCTTACTCTGGAGACAAATAGTGGAAACTGTGCCTTCACCCTGGCTTTGTCTTACAGCTCGGAGCTGTGTAACACAAATGAGTGGTTTGGAGCTATTTCCAACCCGTAGTGATGGGTGTCAGTTTCTTGGACACTACCCGGAAATCTGTAACTCTGAGCAGTATTGAATTAATTTGAAGGCAAGCTGTTCTGGAAAGAGAGCTGGACTCTGAGTCACAATTGGAACTCAGCAGTTCTACTTCTGACCCTTCCTGGAACTCATGTGTGGCCATGGATAGATCCTTTGGTATTCTTGGTCCCCAGCTTACTCATCTGTAAAAGAGGAGGCCTGGATGAGTGCTATGTCCCTTCTAGCTCTGTCGTTTTATTGTTCTAATAAATGCATGACAAAGTCACGAAACATCCAATTATAGCAATCCTGAAAAATGTGATTCTGTTTTATATGGTGTTAAAGATTCCCACTTGACTTGTGTCTCTTAACTACTTAGAATGTGTACCCCTGAAATTCTACTACCTTCCCATAAACTATTTTTTAAAATTGATTTTTGGACCAGTATAAAAGCCTGTGTCTTATTATCCAAAGCTCAGGTTCTAAATTATAAGAGGGCCTCTTTTCAAATGGTATGCTTTCCTTGAGCATTTCTTAAGTGGTAGTTTTATGATGTTTTAACGTTCATTGCATTCATTATCTAAACACTGTCCTAAATCCAGCGAGTGTGAGGTGCGTAGGTAGACAGACTGGAATTCACCCTGGGTTTGCTTTCATCTGCTGGTTCTAGTGGAAGGCTTCTCCCACCTCTCCCTTCCTTCTCAACATGGTTAGTCAAAGAGACTTGGAGAAGCTCTACTCTGCTCGTGACCTGAAATCTCCACGACTCCAAGGAAAGAATGTTGCTGTGTCATCATCCAGAAATTTAACAATTGTAAAACATGGTGATATTTCACACAAAGAGGAATATATTGTCATTACTCTGTTTTGTGAATGATTAAAATATTCACCCTATTGCTCTCTTACTTTGGAAATACATAGCCCACCTCCCTCCCCCACAACTTGATTCTTAATCATCTTTGAATCCAATCTTACATTCATCTGTTGGATTTGAGAATGCTTCGAGAAGGAAGAATAGGGGAAAAGAGTCTCAGGACACTCAGTGACACCCCACAGTCTAGCTGCATCAGGGCAAAAGGTAGATCCGTCCAAGCTGCTAAATGCTAAGCTTCACCTATTTAAGCTTATTTAATGCCACGGATGGCATTTTTAGCCAAGTTCTCCAGTTGAACAAGGCTCGCTCTCTCACCTTCTCATTCTGTTCCACCACTACCACCCCTCCTAAGCATACATGAACACTTGTACTTGGACTACATTTACCAAAACATATACTTAAGAGTTTCATTTACTGATTGTTTTTGCTGCACTCCAAATGGCCTAGCATTCTGTAGCTGACAGAGTGTAAATCATGCTTTACGTGGGTTACGGTAGGATATGATGTTTAGAGAAAGGAAAATATGCTTCCTTGTAGAAGCACCAGACACTGAACCATCTGGATCGTAGAGGAAAAAAAAAAAATTTCAGTCATTCATTCTGATGTTTTGTCTACGTAGTACCAAACATCTGGAAGCTGGGTGACAGACTGGACTTTTCACTTCACATCCAGATGTTTTTGCATCATGCTGAAACAACATAAAGAAGTCAGCTGTATTTTAAAGAGTTGAAATGGTAAAAGCATAAAAGTCGTACCAGTTTCATTTGTTTTGAGGTAGAAGAGATAAATGAAACAGAAGCAAATTCATCAATGTTTTTACTCAACATGCTAGTTTAAAAAAAAAAAGCCATACTTTTTGCAACTAAAAAATTTACAAGCATCATGAAGAACTATCCCCAGAAATACTGAGTGTCTGTCACTGAAAATACAATTTGGAATGTTGTTTAATAATTAAAATGCTCACATTTTGCAAATTCAGGTTAACACTTGGACAGTTACAAGCAATCATTTGAAAAATAGCTGCTTAACAATGACTTCTTCATAAGTACATTTATTCCTTAAACACAAATGTGAATGCAAATCAACAGGTTATCAACGTTCTAATGGGATTTGCAAGGAGACGTTTAGGACCTTTTAAAGATGCATTTTTGAAGAAATGGTCTTATTGGTGCAAAACAAAAACCTAAGATTCAATTCACTGGAGTCACCTTGGATGCAAGTCACAGACCTTAGGCAGAAAGGATTGTTTTAACTTTCGCAATGCGACCATTTGAAAAAAAAACATTTTGTTTTGAGAATTGTATTTCTCATTTGCTTCCATGTTAAGTGTTGTGAGATCTAACCCTTGTTAGGAAACATGTCCAGAATGTATTTCCGTGTATTAGAAGACACGCCACTTAACTCAACCTGGCCTCTCAACTGCCAACAGGTTTTGTGGGTATTTTTTAATGCCATGAAAATTCCAATATATTTTTCATTATTTCCACAAAGGCGTATAGAGTGTGTACATTACACATACCGGTATTATTGAACTGAACTGGCCTAGTGCCGCGTTTTTGCTGACTCAGCACATGGTTTCTCTTTCCCAGATTACTAAAACAACTTTTCTCTGGGGTAAAAGCTTTGCAGAAAAGCAAAGGGTAATAGAAAAACAGAAGGGCCTTATTTTCACCCTTAATTATATCAAATCCAAAAGCAAATGCAAAATCAGACTGGATTTGGGGGGGACTCAGAGAATCCAAGGTCTCCCCTGTCATTTGCTCCCAACCACCCTTAAGAGATTCACAGTAAGCTGGAACCCAACTTGTTTTTCAACGATGAATTTGCACCCGGCTTCTATCGCTTGGGGTGGCGTCTCCCATGAAAGTTACCGGTGTCTTTTTTACGCTTTATGTGCAGTATTTTAAACGAGGCATGTCAATTTAATTTTTTTTTTCTGGATTTGCACCAGAAACTATTTCTTAAAGAGTTTCATACAGAGAAAGCTGCTCATACACTTTAGGACCTGGGGTGACAGCACTTGTTCACTTCTGTGTGATTCGGCGCGGGAGCCGGCAGAGATTCTGCGATGTCTGTGCACACCCGACCACTACGTATTAAGTGACAAAGGTCAGTTCCCATGCATATGGAATGTTCTCGAAGTTCGGGTCTCTGATCCTAGACGCCCTCAGCCATCTGGTGAGTGCGAATCGCTGGGCTCCAGGCTAGCTCGAGCGATGGGGGCAGGCTGAATATTGTGAATCTCCGGCCTTCTCTATGCCCCCACTACTTCCATAAAGGCTCACTAATCAATGCGAATGTCGTAGGAGGCCAGGCCCGCAACTGGCATTCCAGAGAGCGAGGACCACCAGCCGAGCTTTAAATAAATGCAGATGTGACAGGCAGGAGAGAGATCCAGGGAGGGCGGCCTCTGCTCCCGCCCGCACCTCCCTCCGTTTGCAGGCCGGTGCGCCCGCGGGCAGTAACTTCACCAAGGATGGTGAGCGCACCAAGTGACAGCAGAGGTTCAGGAAGGCCCAGAGTTTCAGGGCAGCGCCGTAACGATGTGAACTCCGTTGCTCACAACCCTGTTGGCCTCAATGCCGCTTCTGTAAAGAAGTTGAGCTGTCTCCCTCCCTCTCTGCCCGCTCAGGCCTCCACCAGCCCGACCGTCGGGCCGGTCCTGGGAAATCGCGATCCCGGTTGGTCCGGACGGCAGGAGAAACTTCGCCCTCCCGCCGCCGGTCTGATCCCTCTGCTAATAACCGATTCAACCCACTACAGGGGGACACACACCTTCTCGGTCCCCGCTGGGTACTGGGATTTAGGCGCGAGAACCCAGCGCTGGGCGCGCAGACAGGAGAACATGGTGGAGACATCCCGGCCCGCGGGCCGCGGTGTGCGCTCCTGTGCATGCGGGCAGAGGCAGCGGAGAGGTCAAGCCCCAGGCAGGCCCCGCGCCGCTGGGAGGTGGAAAGCCGTAACCCAGACAAGGAACTGCCCGCGGACCCCGACATCCTCAGCCTCCTTTGCTAGATGACCTGGGGGAAAGCAGGGGGTTGGAAGGAAACACACTCCAGCGCACTTTCAGTGTTAGGTCTGCCCGAGCCCAATTTCGATTGAATTCACAACCTTCCTCCCTCTCCTAGCTCGGGGCGCTTCCTTCGCCCCATCTCGAGCCGGGACTTCCAGCCCTCGCGGCCACCCTCTCCTATTCTCGCCCTCCAACACCGGCCCTTTGGGTGCCAGCAACCCCCCTTGCGCCCATCCCCGGGGTTCTCCGCGGGTGCCACTCCAGCGTCCACGAGGGTGGCAGAGGTCGTAGCTGCAGACCACTTGGTGGCGGCCCACGTCCGCCACCTCACCAGACGCCAGGCCGGGCCCCCACGCCATCCCCGCCCCAGGAAGCCTGGCCGGGGCGTTCCCTTCTCCCCAGGCACCAACCGCGCCAGCCCGCAGCTGCGGGAGCGGCTCCCCTTGGAAACGTGAAGGCCGGAGAGGCCTCCGCCGCGGCGGTGCCCGGCCTCCTCCACCGAGCGCCCTGACCGTCCCGGGCCCGCCGGTCGCCTTCCAGAGCTTCGGGGACACGAGTTTCTCGAAGCCTACCCTCCATCCCGCGGCGCCTCTGGACAACCTTCGGTCGCGGAGGAGGCCCCGGGAGCTTGGCAGGGCTCGGCGCAGGGCCCGCCCTCCCGAGCCGTAGGGCTGGGAGCGTTACTCCGAGTCTCCGGCCAACCCCCGGCATTCCTCTTCCCCTCCCGGCCGGACGCGGCTTGTAAGGACTCCAGGCCGGAGCCGCCGACAGGGGAGGACGCCCTAGCTCTCCGCTCCGGCTGCCGCGGGGCCGAGAGCCACGTGCGCCGAACCGGCGCCGAGTAGCCCCCGGCGCCGGAAGGAGCCGCCGCGCCACCGCCGCCAGCCAGCCAGCCGCACCCGCAGCAGCCACTCGCACCTGCACCCACCTCTGCCACTTGCCTTTTCATCTCCACGCGGAAATGCCACCGGCTTTAAACGAAAAATTCAGAGACTGGCTCGAAAGAGATGAGGAGGATAGGAGTGGACGAGCGCGGAGGCGCGGGAGCGCGAACTGGCCCAGAGCAACCTGGCTTGGCGCAGGGACTCTCGTACCGAGCCCGAGGGGAGGCAGCAATGGGTGTGCGGAAAGGGGAGCGATTCTTAAACGATGAGATGATAAACAGCTTCAAATTATATCGAAAAACTATCCAAACCCTTAATTCCTTTCTGCATATCTGGCCAGGACCTGGAAATTCCGGTTGTAAGCAAGAACAAACATTCAAATTTACTGATGTAAGTCCTATTAAAAGGGACCAACGCAGAGTCACATGGCAATAAATGCAGGGTGATGAGACCAGTGCACTAGACTATTCATTCGGGAGAGGTTCTCATAAAATTTTCAGTTACCTTTTAAGATGCAAAATTTAGCTGAACAAGTTTGCCTACAATAAGATCCTAGATAATATGGTTACTTTCCTAATGTAAGAATTCTTGGTGATGTCTCTCCTAAAACAGTATTCACAAGGTCAGTGATTTTGTAACAAACAGCTGGACAGAACCAACCTAAAGAACTGCTAAGTCCCCTGGTGTAAATACTTAATTCCATCATCCAAAAATAGTTGTTGCATAGTAAATCTAAATCACACAGGGCCAAACATAGCTGCCCTTTTCTGAATAATATCTCAGCTTTCCTGAGACCCCAAAGAAGACAAACTGCAATGTCAGTGTTTTGTTCATTAGGGGGAATAAATTATCCTTTCCAGCCTCCTGAAGTGCTCAGGAATGAGATGTGCTAAGCATATATATGAGGTTATTTTGGAAGACGGTGCAGGTGTGGGCTGATTTAAATTACTTGGTTTTGTGTTTTTCTAAAGGGTCAAAGGTAGGGTCTGGTTTTGGGGAAGGCAGGGAGAATAAGATTTCCTGAGTGAAAATGCCTGTGTGCCTAGTCTCAGATGGAGGAGATAATACAAACCTGACAAGGCATTAGCTGCTGCAGCCTGGGAAATGATGTACTTATCAGCATGCATGTCATCAATCAAAAATTATTTAATATTTGCATTCAACTAATCAGATGACACCACCATTTTGAGAATTTCCACAAGTAAGCAATTAGTAAAATAATCAGTAAATCCTTCTACAATTTCTCACTCATTTAATGGTAAATTATCCTTATTTAACTTGTAGGAATAGTAATAGTTAGGGAATTCAGAGTATGATTAAAGATGAAATGCAAGAATTTCAGTTACTTTTTTAAACTAGTAGAAAAAATACTAACAATTACTCTAGGATTTTTAGAAATCATTTTGGAACAAAGAATTAAATTTAAGAAACAAAATCAGAACAAGTCTAACATTTGAAAATATTGGTGAGTTGAATATATGGTTTTTTAAAAAATGATTTTATACATAAAAACTGTGACTGTTTAAAGTCTTTGCAAGAACACATAAAATGGGTTGTACTCAGATAGATATTTTGTCTTATGTAACTAGAACATCTTATTTACCAACATAAGAAACTAACAGCTATGTTGGTTTTATTTCCCAAATATCAGTAATTAAATTCCCAGTCCTCATGAAGTTGAATCACAGGACATAAACTACTGAGAAAACTATGTACAATTATATAAATCAGTTGTATTTTTAAGTTGTTAGTAATAAGACATAAATTTTCTGAATTGAAAGAGATAGTCTATCTTCCATAATTTTTTTACTCATTTTTAAATATTTAGCATGAGATAAATTGTAGCATATAAACATCGTTGGGATCTGTTTTATTATAAGGATTTTTTTTTTTGTTATCAGAGATACTATGAGGGCAAAATTTTTTAATATTTTTGAGAGTTGTTAAATGTGATGATTGAGCAAATAACTTCCAACCATTTCTCAGAAAAGTTCTCAGACCATGAATAATATTTCTGAGAAATGCATTTAAAAATACAAAATTAGTGACATTAATATTGAGCTTTCAAACCAAAAATCTGTACATAGAACAGGAAATACATGCCAATAAAAATCAAATACTGGTGACGAGGTGGAGAAGGACATTAAAAATTATGCTTGACCAAAAAGAATCTATTTTGCCAATAATTCTTAAGGATTGCTCTTTAGGATGATGAAGCTTCTCAAGGGCGCCTTTCACCAACCCCACACAGTTTCAGCTGTGTCTATGTGTTGCGTGTGTGTATGTGTGTGTGTGTGTGTGTGTGTGTGTGTGTGTTTTCTCTTCTAATTTCCATTTAGCCTTTGCAAGACAAAGAAATAAAGGGAAGATGGAAATCTCGAGCTACTCTGACACACAGAAGGACTTATAGTTTATTAATCAAAGAATTTAGCTTATCCCCCTCACTATTCATCTGAAATTAATTAAGTGTGTAGAATTACAAGGTGGGTGTATCCGAGACAGCAGGCCCTGCTCGGACTAATCAAAAGGGCACATGTTGAATGAGCACAATTTAGTTAAGGTTAATCCAGTGAAGATGATACCTCCCTGGTCTTAATTACCCTAGGTGATAGATTGTGGAATGGGAAAATAGGAAGGAAGGGAAATTCTGCCCTACTGAATACCAGGATTTTCTAATTTAATTTAGCTCTGTTTTCACAAATGCAAACAGTTTCCATTCACAGAGCAGGACCACACTCTTTGGGTTCTTGTTCAAGGTGGTTAAAAGAAAGAAAATAATAATTGCGCGTGCATTTTTAGGAAACATAAATGAGAACCAAATAAGATTTTAAAGGTGTTTGTGATCATCGTCTTTCACTGCACACTTGTCGGCTTGAAAGTTTTATCACAGTTCAGTGCATTCTTTGTGATTTCTGTTGATGGTTGGTTACTTTTTTGAATTCTCCTCTGAGTGCCGAGACCAGTCCCCTTCTGAAATAAATAGAGATATTGCTGCACCTACAAGATGAAATGAATACATCTGTATTATTCAAAACAATATAATTTAAATTGTATGCAGCCAACTTCCGTGGATGAATTGCACAGACTTAATATTGAGCGAAAGAATCCAGATGCAAGAATACTTGCTTTATGATTCGATTTATATTGAGCTCCAACAGACAACTCGATAGTGTTACCAGACAGGATAGTGGTTACCCTCAAAGGAGCAGTGGATGGTGAATTTCTGGGCACTGGTAATATTCTGTTTCTTAGGCTGGGCACTAGTTAGAGAGCCATGTCCACTTATAAAGACTTCATGAGCTTACCAATTTTTAAAATTTATGCTTTATGCTTTTTCTGCGTGTTTTTATTTCAATAAAATATTTACAAAAGGAAAATGAGCAAGGAAAAAATATGAGGTGAAAGATCGAATTGGGACGATACATTTTTAAAAGGCAGCTGAAGGCTGAGGATATCATTCTGAAAGAGAAAAAACTCAGGATTGTCTAGCAAAATAGCCTTAGTGAGGTTTGAATATATCCACTTTGCCATTTTAGTATTGCACACCCACAAGTGTTTGGATTATGCCTCAATTTCCATTCTTCACCAAATATCTGGACCTTTCTTGTTTCTTTTGTATGTATTAAAGCTGAAGTATAATAAGGACACTTAGGAATATTATTCTTTGTCCCTGATTATGGTACAGCGGGCCCCCCCCCCATGTTTTCTTCATGCACATGCATTAAAAATCATCAGATGATTTCCTCGTTTTCAGTTTTGTGATATATTTTCTCCTCAAGAGGGGGTATCTGTTTCTGATTTATTAGCATTTGATCCCTTAGTTTCCTGCCATTGATCAAGCCTAATACTTAACTCAGCTGATGAGTTTTATATGAAATCTGATATTTTAGGAAGGCGGAAGGTTGAACCCATTTTTAATTTTTTTTCCTTTTTCTTTTTCTTTCTTTTTTCCCCTTCATTTCTTTCAGAGTTTGATGTGCACACGAGACCCCTAGTAAAGCTTGAAACTCTACTTATTTTTCACTACATCTCCCTGGTAGAAAACTTTTTGGAAGTAAACATGTATTTATCAATAAAACAGATGTTTGTCAAGTGTCATCCACATCCTGTCCTTGTATATACATTTACACTCTCTGGCCAAAACATGCCTTCACCCCACTACTGGCCTGCTGTCTGCTCTGCAATCTCCAGTGACGTCTCGGTCCATAAGGTCAACCCCCTGGAAACATCTGTATTTGATCAGTTTGCACAAAACGGGGGCCTTGCTAATGCTGGACTTCCCTGAAGTCAGCTTTGACAATAGTTGATTCACCATTACTGCCCGCCCGAGCCTCCCTTATGAAAACTCTTTTTTCCCCTCTGAGTCTATGCAATGCCCAGATTAACTCCTACTCTTATGAGCCCAGAGGCATTTGGAGTTCTACAGCTTCCCAGCTGCTACCACACTGGCAGAAGACTTTCCTATCAACGGGGAAAATGTCATTCTAATAATTGCTAAAGCTAGGACCATTTGTTGTCCTTTATCCACTAAAAAATAGCAAATGGAATCTGATGAGAAAGTCATGTCAGTGTTTCAGCCACTGCAGACCCTAATGTGCTCCCAGGGCCACCTCATGGGAGGAGAGTCATTATCCCATGTGTATGACTTTTCCTTTCTCCCTCCCCATATTCCTGCTCTCTTTTTGTCATATTTTCTGTATTGTTTTGTCAACGTATTTTTCCAACAGAAAATCTAAAGATCACTTCTAAAGCCCTGTTTTCTTTATAACAAATAATAATAATAATGATAATAATAATAATTTTTAGGATAGTCTAATAGCCCCAAGAGGCTATTTTCGTAGGTGGAATGTATATTTTAATCACCTCAATAGGACAATTGAAATACAAAAGAAAAATCTGACAAAAAAAGTATAGCACAAACTTTTAAACTGAGAACAGAGACCTTAAGTCGCCATGAAAGAAGTTCACGAAAATTTGAGATATCATTAAATTCATTCTGGTAGAGCATTTAGAAAATCCCCAATCGGATGTTTACAAAATTTGCTTAGCACATTTTTAAAATGTTGAGGATCGGACCGTCCTTCCTTCACAAAGAGGGTGGAGAAGGGGCTGAAAAGATTAATGGATTGCCTTCTCTGAAGGGCTTCCCCGGCTATGGGTCCCAAGGAAGAGGCAAGAGGCCACAAGACAGCAATGCCCATCTCAGGGAGCTGTGGGTCTAGTTGACAAAAACCCTAAAATGTAAATAACAGAGAAAGATGATCTGTCTCCATAACCAGTAAGTGATTAAGTCACAAACACGCAGCTTGTCCACCGTTTCCGCAGGATGAGTACATGGGGAAAGAGACAACAGTCCCCCCTCGGGCCTCAGGGCTGTCTGCACTACTGCCAGACTGTCCCCCGAG